CTCCTTCTCTGGTTGGCTGCCTTCCTTTCCCTCATGCCATTGGATCGCAGAGAGACACGGGATTGGCTGAGGCCAGGTGGCCCAACATGTCTGCGCCCTAATCCGACGCCACAGCTACACTGCCTTCCCCTCAGGAGTGAAGCTGTCCTCAGCTTCTGGCTTGGTTCCTTGTACTGTTGCTGATATCCAGTGTTGGTAAAATATCCAGTTCGACACTCCCCGCACCCCACATCTGACAGGATAGCGGGCCATGCGAATAGTTGACGAGGGACTTTGCTCTTGTAGACTTGCAGGAAGGACTCATCATCCATCGTAGGTCCATTCGCAGTTGAGGTCCAGCCGGCTTTCACTGCCCAAGTCGTCGTCGCTGAGTTGCCAATGCCTCTTCAGATGCAGTAGTCCTAATCCCGGGCAATAACTACGGATCCACTTTATTGGATATCGGATGACCGCCATGGCCTTCAGCTGGCATTTAAGGGTCTTTGCCTTTGTTGGCCATTGTAGAGGAAGGGATGGGGTTTGATTTGCGTTATTCGAACGCATCCGCTGCCACCAATGTAGAATACCTGAGCCCTAATAGGAAAAAGACCGGTACAACAGAACAGGCTTTATTGACCAATCGGAATCCAAAGACACAAGTCAGGCGCCTTCCATCCGAGTCCACCACGCTAGCCACGCCGCCCATTATATACTGCTCCTCAGTTGAGTCCTCATCTGGTTGGCTGCTTATCTTCCTCGCATGCCATTGGAACACAGAGAGACACAGGATTGGCTGAGGCCAGGTGGTCCAACATGTCTGCGCCCTGATCCGACGCCACACCACGTTACAGTAGCAACCACAGTTCGGGTATTCTGCAGGTTTATCTGCTTAAAACTGGACGTTTTCATGCGCGATGTCAAAAGATGGACACCATAGCTTTCATTTTACCTTTTTTATCTCAATTTTTGTCCATTCCGTTTTATTGGTCTAATAGCATTTTTGGGAATGGTGCTCAGTTCAGGGATTTTATAATTGGGAATCTTAATGTAACATCTCTTAAATTTCTACTTTTTTATGACGAAGAAAAGCCATGTTTCGTGAATTCAAAAATATAACACCACATTTTTAGTTTTGGTGTTAGTGGAAGGAATGTCCACAGGCAGTATCTCAGGTTTTCTGCTCTTTTTGTGGTTTGTTTTTTAATGAATGAGACTTTATGCTTGTCGATATTTTCATGTGAAATGTGGCATCATTTAGCCTACGACTATGTAATTGGGGAGCCTTTGATGCCTATACTTTGAAATGAACGGTGTAGATTTATTTGTGGACTTCTTTTGGACAAATCGGTACAAACTGTTCTGGGTTGGATATTAAGTTTGGATTACTACATTCTCTTCATTCAATATCTATGTAAATATGTTCTTCGACAAGAGCGCTATTAACTGTCATATACATGCGTCTATCGTGATTCTTTCGTGGGAATGTTTTAGCGGATACTATCTGCGTCAAACAAGGTAACCCAAATATCTTCAGGCGCGCAGTGTATTTTGTGATTTTGTTCTGCAGGCAGTTTTAACCTCAACACGTAAGTGCGGTAGCACGTAACTCATATGCACGTGCTTGTAAACAGTGTAGTCAGTATAATTCTCTGATCCGTCTTCAAACTGTGCTGAATTTACTTCCACTTGACTGATCTTTTTTAGAATAGCTTCTTAATCGGGTAGATATTCGTGAAAACAAGTGCATGCTTAATATTTCCTGATAGAAATTACAAGACAGTTCTGACGAACCTGAGGAAAGCCTCCAAATAACTTTTTCTAGCCTCCAACTAGAAAAACTAGCTTTAACGTCCCATGGCTTCACAGGTGGAATGTCTGCGGTCCTCTCATTGTGGTGGCTGTAAATTTGCTGGTCTCAAATATTTGGTTTCTATAGAATTAAACTTAAAGTGAAGCCTTAATGTTTTATGTGAGCATTCGATCTGTAGGCTCATAATTTGTAGTGCCCATTACAGTGAAATTTTTTTGTACAGTGTGTGTACTCCTTTGAGATAGAGCATTATGAAGTTTGCGATCCCATGATTAAGATTATGGCCTTTAAAGCGATGAATAAACGCAAAAAGTTTTGGTTTCATTGAACATTTTTTTAGCTGATGTGATTTTCCTGTTATTTTATCCATTATCTCAGAAAATAGTTTATCTGAATAGGGTTCAAACAACCCTACCATCAATGCACGTATTGGAAATGTGTGCCTGAAGCAAAAGGTCGCTAGAGACTAAATTCTCTTTAATTTATCACATTCTCAAAACCAGTCAGTGCTCTTTTTTGGTTTGTTCGGTTTCAATGACGTGTTTGAAGAGTGGTTGCTGCACCAATCTTCCTTGATGTTGTTCAAAATGCAATTTTGTGTAATCGGCTGTATTTAAATAAAGGTTAATATTTATTGTCTTAGCATACTGTAATGACTGTGGGAATCGCCAATGCGGAGCACGAACGCTTTCACGTTTCTGTCGGGAGCTGCTCGTTTAAATACCAATTTGCGGAGATTTATTTGGCCCGTTTTAAGGCGGTACGCGCTGGCCTTGTGGAAGAAGCGCGCCGGCGCTGGAACAGGGATGCCGATGAAATGCCTCCAGTCAGATCACTAGCAGACCTCAAACATAATGAAGATTGCATCATTATTGGCACCTTATTCAGGGTCAGTCTGGTTTTGAAATATCCTCCACAGTGCTTGAGTTGGTTTTTTTTTGAATTTCTTGGGATACGCACTTTCTTTTTCATGTATATTTTTAATCTATTATATTGCCATCTTTTAGGAGAGTGCCCAAAAACCAAGCATAATAAAGCAGTTGGCAGACTTGGAACAGATCGGCATCGGTGGAGGAGCGAAGGCTGTCGTCACTGAAGCAGATACTGCTGAAAAAGATGGGCAATTGTCGAGATTAGCTGGCGATAATGACGAGCTGTTTTTAGAAGATGAAGTCCAACGTATTAGCCTTTGTGTCTCTGATGATTTCATACGCCACCGTCTTGTCACGGGGGTTGTTGTCTGTCTCCGCGGGTCCGAATCCGAAAATTCTCAAGGTAAACCTATTCCTCAATTCTAGTGTAATCAGCATCAGAATATTTGCGGCAATTACTTTATTCGTTTTCTAAATTTCTTTTCGCATGCGGAGTATTTAATCAACCTAGTTCAGGGCTATGGAATCAAATTATATGCTCCATTGTTTGTTTTTGTTACCGTTTGGTAGGTTGTCGTCGCAATAACTAGGCTTACATTCCAAAAGTAAAATTTTTCCATCAATATTGTGATCTAGAATTTCTGTATAAGCGGTTGTTGTAGCTGAAAAAGTCGTTCATAGTGGTAACTACTTCAAGCAAAAATACAAATTTTCTGCATATTCGCATTTCAACTTGCTATATCCATCAACAATAACTGTCCACTAAACTTCAAGTCCCAAAATTGACCAGAAGCTCCGAATCCTCAAGTCCGTTTTCGGCGGCTACTTATTCTCTCATTGCTTGTGTCAGGTCACGTATAAGGCAACCGAAACAAGTGCGAAACTTAGGTGGTTCCGTTGTTGCGAAATACTGGGAATGTATAAAACGCCAGTCAATTTAAATCTCTAGTCCACTCAATCTTTGGTGCTGGTCTTTAATTTACTGCAGTATGGCCACCGTTACTTTTATTCCACCTTGAAACCTTCCAGTTTCACTGCATAAATGCTGGTCCATACTGCATGTTTACGAACTCCTAAACTGCTCGATTGGTTACTCCCCCCCCCCCGGAAGCATTAGAACTACCTCATATTGTTCACCTTTGTTGGTAATTTGCTCACGACATTGACCAGGTTTTTGTGAATTTTCATCTAGTTTAAAGTGGAGCTGCTGTACATCGAGTAACAGCATTCTATTGTAGCCACACCAGTGTAGGTAGGCCTTAAAATTTTGGCCAATCGTGCCTTTGAACACAAGCAATAAAAATGCTCCGTATCATTTTAAATTTGCCTGGTTATTTTTTTCCAATAAGCGTCTCCGTATGATTCGCAACTCCTTACTAATATTTGCCCCCTCTTAATCACCCCAGGCTCCTTCACAGTGGTGGATGTGGCGTTTCTGGAGCCCAAACCGCAAAGTCCAATTGCCGTGTCAGAGCATCCAGAACCATTCCCCCCACATCTACCCCTAGAGGGTAGCAAGTGGGCAGCATTTGTCTCTGGTCTTGGGTTCACTGGTTCAGCAGTTGGGGGTCATCATGCTTTTGCTCTTCGTCTCCTGGGCGATTGGTTGAGGGGCGGAGGAACCAGAGGTCCATTGCGTCACCTTTTCATTCTTGGGGACTCCATTCGAGCAGGTGACCCAGGCGACAATGAGGTCTTGGGGTTGATTGAACAGGTGGGTTTGTCTTTTTTCAACAACTGATCAGTTCTGCCATCTATTGGATTGTTGGAAATCTCAAGTGACATGGTGATTGTAATCCTAACAAGTTAGAAGAGTTTTTTTAAGGATTTTAGGGCCATGCACCTTAAACACTTCTTGTCGAAGTTAAGACGCATTGTCTTCGTTGTAGTGCCATCGGTTGTACCACGTTTGTTGGTGGCGCGCCCCCTACGATTAACAATTAGCTTTTATTAATGAATGCGTTCGAATAAGGGGATCTGCACAACCAATCGTGCATTTTAAAAAGTACTTAATAATTACTATTAAGCAATGAACAAAACCATTATAACGATGTTAGGAGGCTTCGTAACGATACCGAGGCTTTTGAGGCCATTAATTTTGACAAGAATCAGAACACTAACACAAATCTGACTGCCATGGTCTTAGCAATGCGTTCGCGAACTTTCTTTTCACTTTAACCGCTTATAACACTACTTTTTCGAGAAGAGTCTGGAATTGGTGCAACTGAAGACATCAAGATCCTGAGAATGATAGTAAATTTCCCGGAGAAGGCTACAGTCAGGTCCTTTGTGTATGCATGACTTTAGTACGTCTCAGGTGGCAAAGATAACTGACACTTTCGATTGCTGGCTGTTTGGTCATGAGACTCACCTGCTCAAGACCAGCTTAATGCGTACGAGTAATTTTGTGGAGTGAAATCGGCGGCTCCCCTTTCAGTTTTCCGGATTTTTACTCATTCAATGGATTGGGGTAATTACTTAAATGCACGGCAAGCAGTTTGGTGATTTTAATGTCTGCACGGGTTGTGTCTTTTGCACAGGCTCGTTTTCTGGCCCGGAAATCGGATGCCGACTCGGTTGTAGCGATGGCAGCTTTCGATGCCTGGTTATCTGAACTGCCTCTCGGTCAAGGGGGTTTGTGCGTAGAAATTCTGCCAGGACCGTCTGATTGTGTTTCACAACTGCTGCCACAGCAGCCGCTGCACCCCATCCTCCTGCCCAAAGCCATTGCCCGAACCGGAGGTGGTGTGCGAAGCTCCACAAACCCTTGCCTCTCTCAGGTTGGATCACGTCGTATTCTGGCCACATCTGGGCAGACCGTCACTGACGTTTACAGGTGCACTTGTGTTTTCGGTTTGTTATTATCATTGCTCCCACTCATTTCACTCCGTGGCTGTGTCTTTCAATTGTCCATCGACTGCCACCTTTCGATTCACTCTACGCCTCCAATCTTATGTTTATGTTCCCTGCCATCTGCGCTTTCGCCAATTTTCCATAACCACCAGCTTCCTATCTGTCAATTTCAGGTACACGAAGGCAGGTGGCGTCCTCGATTGCATGGAATCCCTCTTGCACTGGGGTCACATGGCTCCGACCTGTCCAGATACACTTTATGGCTACCCACTCGCAGATCGCGATCTCCTCCTCCTTCGTACCGACGGGTCGTGCGGTGCCTCACCCGACTACCCAGACATCTTTGTGGCGGGCAACCAACCCGTGGCCCAGTGGCGTCGGGCCTCCCTGGAGCCCTGGCGATCGGCGCTGAGCACCGCGGCAAAACGCGATGGGTCCCTTCTCATCTCGGTGCCTCGTTTCGACTCATCGCACACCATCGTTTTGCTCGAACTTGAATCTCTCAGATGTCTACCCCTGCGATTCGACCAGTCCGAAATTTCGTAAAAGCGTTCTCATTGTATATGAAATCGGTTTGATTCGATTACTGAGATTGAGAAGAGTTACAAGTAAAGTTATGTGCATTTCTTTGTTTACAGCGAAAAGTGTCTTTTATTATTATTCTAAATAAATGATAAAAGGGATTATTCTCACGGCATTTTGATTAGAAAAATAAATCCAAATTCTTTCAAGGTTTTGGATTTAAGGGATTTTTGGTTTCCTCACTGTTTGTAGATCTCTCAATTTTGAACCTCTCTTCCTATTGCCTTTTCACTCCCCGTAGTCCCATTCAACTGGTTTCACTTTACTCAAGCACTGGTCTTGTTTTTTCATCTTTTACCTACCCGGTCCATCACTGCTGTCGTCTCTTTTCAACTTTATTTTTAATTCCATCGCACCCTTCTCCATCCCCTAGGGAACTTGTGGCAATCGCCGTTAACTACCAAGGACAAAGGCGTGATTGCCGTTGGTTTTTAGACGTACTCATGTCCAAGGAAGCCACGTCTCTAGTCCGTTCAGTCCTTGGATTTGACGCGTGTGTCTGTGAGTGCGCAACTCGCGACGTCAAGTTCACGATAATGCAGACATAGGAGGATTGCGTCCTTAGAGGCTTCCTGAAATGCCTTTACCCTATTTAGTGCTGATGAGCGGATAGACTACCCAAATTTGGCTCACAGATTTGATCAACGAATGTTGTGTTTATGAAGCCTGAGTGGTCGTGCGGGAGAGCACGCTCTGTGTGTCAACTGCGTCTGCCTTGGAGGCCTGATAGTAGACAATAAAGCTGACACTCCACGCTCATTAACCCAGATTTTATTCCTCCACAACGGCCGTATGCAAACATTTTTAACAAAGGAGACAACACCTTGGTTGCAGCCCACGTTATCGGTTTTGATGCCCTATCGCAAGGACGAAAATAAGACCCCGTTGATATGCGAAACCGCGTACATGTGTATCCCAGCGGACTGCGCCCCCCTTTCTGCATAGGCACCCACGTCGGTGTCATTTCATCGGTTGTTAAATTTGTGCCGCTACATCTTCGCGTGCCACAACCATTGATGGCTTCAACTTTGCGCAAAGCCCTTTGGCGAACCCCATTGAAATAAACCCAACCGTATCCCATCCTACCGAACGAAAAATAGGAAAAGAAACACGAGGAGCAGCTGAGAAGTCAAATCGTTGCACATCAATTTCACGACACTGGTGAAAAAGGATGACGATGACAAGTTGGCATCAGATGTAGCCAGCATCCTTGTCTGCTGTCACCATTGCGAAATAGATAATATCCGGAAACACGGTATCAGTGCGCAGCGGGACAATGGCAACGCCGCTTTTGCCATGCAATAAATCAAGACAGTACGATCCAATTTGCAAATATCATACCCCGCACACTTGGAGAACGATGGTGCGATTTGAGTGGACAGCTGGAGATAATCTCTACCATTGATTGTTGTAACGAATTCCCTTGCATGCAATCATAGGTCATTCTGACTAATCGTTATTGATGAACCAAAGTATTCATCTTGTGTCGTTAAAGGATTCAAATTTACGAAAGATGTCGTGAAAGATTCGCTAAGTCAGGTTTTTGAACAGAATTTTTACCACTGGCATTCCCCACAAGCACGAAGTAAGGATAATTACTTATGGAAATGGTCAGGAACGCAGACGTTAGGAACGTGGTGAGGCCTTACGAAGGGAGTGACCCTGATTACCGCCAAGTAAAAACTCAGAATGGCGAAAACCAGCTAAGGGTAGAAAGAGTAAAAGAACATCCGAGAGTAAGCTACGGGCGGGTGACGTGATCGATGAAGCACACGACCGAAGTCGCAACAGTCGGCAAACCGAAGCAACACAGCAGAAATCAAGGAACATGATTTATTCTATCAATGTGTAATTGGGGAACTGAAAATAAAGCTACTGTAATCGTTGTCGCAGGAAATCGACATCTCCGAGACCTCCTGGGAAATGCCGGTTGGGAAGATGGCAGCCATCCTCCCCGTGGTTTCGTGCTACCAACCAATCGTGCGCCAGAGGGGGGGTCGCATGACTATGGACATCGGCCATTGCGGCGACGCGACGCTGTGCACAAAGAAGACGTTCTTCAATGAGATCCAGAGCTCGTCGGGTCATTACCAAGCTGTCATGATGAGCCATTGACCAAACGTTAAGACCGTGAACGGGCATCAGTGTGAGGCCGCGACCTGGGTGCAGCGCCCGCGGTGCTGCATACTGTGAACCCTCTCTCAGACGACCCTAGGTAGATTTCAAAGATGGTACGGAAAAACGACTATGAATGAAAATTGAAAAGTTGTTAGCGTGAAAGGACGGACTACTCACAGATATGCACATGAATAGGCTCAAATTAAGGATTTAAATGGATCCAGGAGCTGAACTTCTTAAAAAGATGGCCCACGATGGTAAATAAAGGGACTTACCTGGATAGCTGCCGCTTCTGGAGCAACTTCAGTGTCAATATAATGTGCGTAGCTGGCGCAGGCCAAAGCCATCGCCAATCCATTGCTCGAGTGACATTTATCCAAATAGGTCTCCGCACTATACCACAAATATAAAATAGAAAATTTCAATATATGCGTGAGAAACCATTACTGTAGCCATGGACAAAATGTAAAATACGGAAGCAGAGTTGAAATACGGGGTTAAAAGCATGAACATGCAGAGGAATTTAGAGAATGCAGGATAGGGAAAAATTGGCAAGTGCTGGAAGAGGACGGGATACAGAGCAATAGTGCATGACTCAAGAGGTAGATAGCCTACTCTGTTACAAATAGGACGGCGGGGCCCCATCGACGCGTGTCAACCAGACGCCGGAGGTATTCAGCTGCTTGTAGACCAATTTTGGCAGCTTGAGCAGCTTGACCTCCGCCAATTAGGTCGAGCATCTCTTCGGTGTCCTCCTTTCCACGTACAAAAGCTGACGACAACGCAGAAGTGTCATCACCCTCGACCGATGACAGTTGAAGACGCTGAACAATGGGATCGGCATCCGCCTCTTCCCCTTTATTTTCAGCGGCCCAAAGTCGGAGACGGTCCATGGCCCTCTTGTTTGCCATCTCGTAAACCTCCGAAGCGGCAGACTCCAGGTCCTCAGAAAGACTGAAATCAGTCACAACGTGAAGATCACCCTTGAAAATGACAAAACTTGGGTATTAGAAGGCACAACAGGAGTAAGGTAAAGGACTCGAACCTTAGGGACGCTTAATTGGTTAAGGTGTCGCCTAACTATGTTGCCTTGTATAAGAAAAATTGCGACAATTAAGACTTTGAAATTATAATTTGCTTCCACGAAAAGGCTCTTAATTGAACAATTTAATGAGTTGTAAGCTGACACTCATTATTTAGATACAAAATTTATAATAATAGATTACTACTGTGTACAACGTAATCTGATTATATTCAAAATCAGATATACAAATTAATGAAATGTCAGACTTCGTAAAGGAAGTCAAAGCAACTTCACCAGAGATGATTTAAAAAATATGTCCTTACTTGAGCCTGTTTTGCAGTAAGCATGCTGAGAAGTCCATTAACTCGAACAGAGTATGGAAGAATAGAAAAGAAGGACTGGGGACCCCGAGGACCATTACACTGACCCCCACCAACAAATATGTGTGTTCGACGGTTGCCATGACGAGCTCGACCAGTGCCCTTTTGTGGCCAGGGCTTACGACGGCTTCTGTGGAGAAGTTCAGCCCTCGTAGTTATGCATCGCCAATCCTGTTAGAACAATAATTTGTCACACAACAACAAAAGGAAACGACTTCACTGAGTTGGATAAATAAGGAAAAAACAGGTCAAATAACTAGATAAAAAATTTGAAAATGTGATATAGGGAATAGAGTTTAGGATTGAGAAATTACAGATTTATGGATGTACTTGTTAACTTACGACGATGCGATAGTGTGCCTGCCAATATAGGTTCTTATGAACAAGGTCGAAACGTGGAAACGTAGCAAAAACATCTGGATGGAGGTCGACAATATCTACATACTGATTTTCAGCATCACGAAGGGATTCCACCCACACCTGGCGTGGCGCTACACGCCGATCCGAGCAAGTTACTGATGGGGCAACAGTTCGAGGGTTTAGTAGGAGCGGTGCTTCCGAAGCAGTCTCTTTAACTAGTTGCCGACTCGTTCGTTCGAATTCAGCTAATTCAGATGACCGGTCACCACGACGGCGGCCGAAAATTTGACCCAAATATCGAGATGGCGAAAAGCGAACAATCAACTTGCCGAGCTGAAACACAAACAGACAGTAATCTATTGTAAACAAGTGATAAAAACATCACCCCATTGCGACCATTGTCTTTTCACGAGTTGAAAGCAACCTATAGTGAATCATGTTGATTCACGTTCACCAGCGCTGTTGACGCATGTCAAGACACCTCAGTGAATCAACCTTTCCCGACAATTCACAAATGAGCTTCGATTCACATTTTAGCGTTCCTATTGCTCACGCGGTGACGTTTAATCGCGGGCCCATTTTAAGCATCCATATGAATACATATGGGACTCATAAGTATACACGAAATTGTATGCACAGGAACAAAACAAAGGAATAGAGTGGCAGCACCAAATTTTTGGTCGGAGAAAACCGAAACTGCATTAAACCATCAACTATGATCTCAAAATACCATAAAATTAGTTTACTGCTAACCAAGAAGTAATAATGGAAGGACCGGGGCAAAAACAAGCAAGACGGCTTGAATAGTCTAATTAGAACGCAAAAAATCTGGCTGCAAGGGGGGAATATATTATTTTTGAAAATCTTATTAACGTACACGTCCAGAATTTAAAATGGGTTCCAAAGTTAGGTGCATCTACAACGATACAACACGCACAACGGACGATTCGGCACCACACAGCTCACCGATTGAGATTTAGATAGCCTCTTGAACTAAGAAACAATTTAAACAAATCCTCCGATCCTAATACGTTAAACTTTTTGCCCATCATATACCCTAACTGTGAGACTATTATTCGAAGTGAATACACTGTAGAAAGCCCAAATGTATGATATATTTGTAGTCTACATGGCGACCAATGTTTTTTAGTAGTTAAGCCAAAATATGCTATAAAAAGACCCTAAGGTTTAAATCGATACACAAAAACCACAGAAAATAGGAAGCGTTAGAGGACTATACTCTTGCTTGAGGAACCTATACGCAGTCCTCGGAATTGATTTTTAGAAGGCCTAGTCGCTGTCGAGTTTTAGAGAAATAGGGCTTACACGAGGCCATGCCTCGAACTCAGACATGGGACTCGGGTACCCTCACATAACCGTGTTTGCACCTTAATTGGCTTGTGTTGTAAGTTAACGATGGGTACCTCACGAAAACAACGACGTCAGTTCCCTCGTTTACTAACTACTCGCCCAAACACCGACTCACATCGTAGCAAAAAATATTTTACGAACGACTGGACTCACAAAATGACCATAAATTGCATTACATAACCAAAAACGGTATGTTCAAGGGTATGTTCAAGAAATTACGATGTGACCAAACATACAAACAAATAAAGTGAGAGACGCGACGGCCCCAAACAAAACGTGACTTTTTAAATAAGCGGTTGCATTGGTTTGATGAAAGACATAGTGTAAACACAGGAATTGATCAGCTCTTCGGAGCAGACTGAGTTGGCCAAACTTCATTGCAGTCGTCAGCAAAATGTTCTAGGCTGGGGGTAAGCCTACGCAAGCAGGTCATATAGAACACCAGCTCGGAGTCTACCAAGCTAAAAGAGCAAGAAAAGGTTTCTTCTGATGTATTAACTAGGAGCACCTGAAGGTCGATAATAAAGCAAGCACCATACCCTTGTTGTGGTCCACCATCAGGAAACAAAGAGAGATCTGCAAGCCGCTGTCGCAATCCAGCTTTGAATTCTAAGTGGGCCCGAAGTAAAAGATTCTAGAGGTATAAAGACGACAACCAGTAAGTTAACCATACAAATCAATTGGTTAATGAATCTGTGCAGTTTCCGCTGAGTCAATTAGTGATATATCTGTAGAGGTGATTAGTGTGAATCGCGCAGAGCGGATACCTGCAGAATTACCGCTTAAAGGGCATTTTGGAACATGTTCAAAAAATGTTCATTCCGACAAGGACACCGACAAATAATGATGAAAAATGAATGTGAATGCATTGGGACGGTAACATACATTCCGACTACAGCTAATCATGAAGCACTTCACTAAATCGCAAAGCATCATAAGGAAATATTGCTACATATTTAAGTGTACACTCGAGTTTCTTGAGTGACTTATTTTAAAAAAGACGTCACCAAACTGCAATCTGAGCGTGTATTTAATGACAGTTGCTGAAATAACCTAATAAATTTTGTCATATCTTTTGTAGCCTTATTAAAAAGAACATGCCGTGAGCATGTCGGAAGAGAGAACATCAGAAGTGGTTTCTGTGAGTTTGGTGAGCGCCTGGCAAACAGCGCGCAGTTCGGCACTGGGTGTGGGCGGACGAGGTTGCCAAGTCCCCAGGCGCGAAGCGATTCTCGTTGCTAAAAGAGTAGTCAACTTCTCAACAAGATCCGATAAATGTTTTCTACAAGAGATGATTAAGTTACCTGAAATACTTAAAAGCTTACATCCAATGGCTCAGTGTTAAAGGCCATTAAAAGTTATAGTTTGAATAGACGAAGCACATAAACACAAAAAAAAATTTTAAAGCTGAGGTAGTCAACCTAATAATTAGACATTCCACCTTGTGGTAGACGAAAAGGCCCTAAATACAGGCTCTGGAATTTAACTGACATCGATATCAAGGACATTCGGTCAAATCCTCTTGCGTCAGCTGGAATGAACCTACACATTATATACACATATGTATTTCTCAACTAACAATTTAGTACTTCGTTAGATCAAGAAGCTGATATTTCCAGTTGATGAACCTGTCCAGGTGTGTGTTAGTAATCGCCATATTTCACCAACAACCATACAGTATAAACAATACTAATAAAGAGAAGACGTACCTGATAGACAAATTCACTGCAGTGAAGGGATTTGAGAGGCCCTTTTTCTTCGTTATTAATAAGTGATCATTGTGACATGAAGAGGCTTCGCTGAGTTTATCACAGCTCTCCTCCGCGTTTTGATAACTAAAAGAGCAATGATTCAAAGATTGTCGATAAATGTGTAAGGCAGTGAAATTATTTTCATCACAACACTTTACAGTAAATTTGCCGTTAAAGTCCCTCTCAGCCTCCCACAAAGCAATTAATTGCTCAGAACTAAGCATTAGCGAATTAGAACCAAAAATTAAACCTTTGCACATCACAGGCTAGAAACGATGAAAGCTCCTACCTACAAAGCGGTGATTTTTAACATTTTGCCAGAAACTCGTAGAAGTTAAGCTAACTAATTCGGCATCGTCGTAAAATAACTCACAGTTTTTCAAAGAAGGCTTGAAGTACCGGAATTATGATGAGAAGGGATTCGAGGCTACGAGCCACCAGAGCCAAATTCCGTGCGGAGATCGTCGAAAGCACATCGCGCTTTCGTGCTCCCGCGCCAAGAACCAATTCGCAACTTCGAGAATTGAAAACCTGACAGCAAAATACATAAATTTGCATTTGGTGAAAACGAGGGTGAAAGAGGAAGGCAAAATTATGGGAAAAGTGAGAAGAGAAGACAAAGACACGGGCTGTTTTAGTGTGTAAGGGGATGGAATGAACCAGAAACAAATGGAGAATGTCCACAGCGAAAAGGAAATGGGAAAAAGGTAATGCTTTAAAAACATTTTAGAAATTTTGAAGTTGGAAAAAATATTTAGGGGAAGAAGAGGACAACTGAGAGGATCGAAATGATAGATGTCACACAAAATCAATAGATACGGTTCACCAAGATTGAAGAAAAGTGATGCACACAATGAGGGGGAGACGGGCACTACGGAGACAGGGAACCACGAGTACTTACCGTTATGAATTTGGTCAAATAAAGCTGTACGTCGCGAAGTAGAGCAGGCCATGCAGCTAATTTTTTACCCAATTGGAGGTAATCTATCATCAGAGGGATGAGGGTAAGTACAGTCTCCACGACGACATAACCTTCTCCATGCAGAATCAATTTCGAGCTGGTGCCAGCCTCAACACTGGAAACACTATTATCGGAAGCGTCCACGTTTGAGATCGTCTGCAGCTATGAAAAAAATATTACAATCGTTTAAAGATCAAACAGAAAACGACCGAGACACCTCATGCATCACTATCCTTAAATGAGCATCAGCACTCAAAATTTGGAGTAAAGTCCCCACAGGATGTTGGCGCAACACATTAGGAGATCTTCCTTTCATCACTCAAACGCACTTACAACTTATAAATGGACACCTGTGCAAATGAAAATTCACGCATCCGATTTTTAAATTCAACCCAGTGACAAGTGCGATACAGGGTTTTAGAAAAAGCGCTAAGGATAGGTTTGAAGGCGCATAAACAAAGGGATTTGAATAAAAAAGACCATTGACTGGAAGGAGTTCGAGGTAGTGTAAGACACACCTCGTGATGGTCGAGGAGATGAGAGAGAAGAGGGACGAGGGCGGGGCTCAGGGCATGGCTTGCCGGTCGCCAAGTTTCCTGGTCGAGAGCCTGGCTGAGCGTGTTGCAGTGGTCTTCGTGGAAGGCTTGAAGAAGCACTGAGGCCTGTGATGAAACGAGGCTGCGCAGAACTGCAGAGTGGACTGGAAACGGCAAACCAGAACGTGCTGGCCAGCAGTAGAACGACCAAGCCGGGACAACCACACGTCTCTACAAAACGCGGTTTCTTAAAAGTCCATAATGTAAGTTTCGAAATAAACTACGCTTCTGGCTTGTTGCATCACGGAGTTTTTCAGACCATTTGCTTCAATTACAAAATTTGCTGGAATAACATGGCCACTATAAGAACGTTCGTGTACAACTCGCATCGCATAGATAAGCAGCTAAGGCTCCATCTGCGCAATAGCCAGCAGTGCAAAACCCATCAAGGAATCTTACATGGAAATTTTCGAGAATTTCGGCGAATGCAATAAAGTCATCGCACGAAACCAGTCCTTTGACTGAAGGCTGTTGTTGCCTGGTCTGTTTAAAGTGGGAAGTGACTATTTTGGCCACCTCGCGTTGCGACCAATCAGTGGCCTCCCAGTATATGCGGCGCAGGCTTTCGTTGCTCACAGACGCGGAGTCAGCGTCGTCCAGCGCTGAGGGCGTTATGGCAGATGCGACCGATAAAATGACTGACTGAAAGAATAAAAACCACTCGTACAAACATCCAGCACAACTCTGACCAAGGGCTATAGTTAAAAATTTATGAGATAGCGCGATCACAGAGGAACTGCAACATCGGAGGTAACCAGTGCACAACGAATTATTATGCATTAAGGTAGAAACCTGCCGACAGAAAACCTGGCCTATAATATTGGTCACCAATAAAGTTCACAAATAATGGTATGACGTTTTCTTGAATGGCTCATTGGTTAAAATAAAAGACTACGGTGACACACGAGCAAAAAAATCGGCCTCAAAAGAAATCAGCGAATGGCCTTCCTAGGTAGACAGACACGAACAGGATGCAACCTTAAAACAAACTTACTCGAATGCGGAATAGAACTTGCTCAAGTTCCAGACAGACGGATTTCAGGAGGTCCAGCCACGTGGAAGTCGTGTTTTCAGAGGAACTTCCCTGCACACTTCTAATAGAAAAGAAAATGTAGCCCTCAGAAACAGTCACACAAAGTGGCTTGTGCGACAGTCGAACGCACGGTGTGGGTAGAAATAGTACAGATTGCCGATTTCAGTTACCTAGATTGCACATGATGGGTGAAAATTTTGACTAAACGCAAAGATAATTTTACACAAGGCCAGAAATTCGCGTTGCACCGTTCTCTTGAGTGCATTTTAGAGAAGAAACGTGATAAAACCAACATCACTGAAGTTAGCAGACAAGCTAGAAGCCTGCTGCGGCCATCCTGGATTTAACGTCACATTGTTTAAAAAAGGTCTTCTGAATATGGGAAAACGGACTCTTGATCTTTTTCCCAGATGGGTCAAAAGAACAATGCGTTTTACCCTTTAGAATGTGCAATGAAAATTGCGAATGAGACATTTAGAATAACGATCTGAAGAAACGGCATTCCTGGTGCTTGAAATCTTGAAATCATTTCCGCTTGGTGCATTGTTGCTACACACTACTTGTCAATTCAAATCATCTTGTGCTGAAACATTAATTAATTAATTTAAGTAAGACTATCTTCATGATCTGACTCCTTTTCCTTCTTTCCCTCCACGTCGCCTAGCCCCAGTCAAAATTTGTACCACACAGTTCTTGAAATCGTCACGACAAGGTCGTGCCATCTTACTGCCTTCCTTCTATCACTAAGCAAATGCTCAAAGGCGCTGCATTTCACTTTACCAAGGCAATGCATTTAACGACACACTGAAGAGGCCTAGCTAAATATCAACCGCACGAGTACTCACAAACCAATCACAAGTGTTTGGGCAAGCACATCGGAATACCTGTCTTCGTCCGGGAAATGGCCACGTTCACTACCCAGGGAGCCCCCACAAGTTCTTTCAAGAGCGTCTGCAAGCGCGCTTTGTACCTCTGTGCGGATGGTAGGGATAAAATCAGTTTGTCCAATTCGCAGAAGGCCTAACACACTCGGCACGAGTTGCTAGATGGGACGAATAGGAGACTTTTGTCATTAACCAATGATGTTTAAATGAACTGCCCCTTCACTGAACTGTTCAAACTAGGTGAGTTGTCGGTCCCAATTTTTGAACAAACTGCGCAGGGCGCTTAGATAAACGGTTGCTTAACAGGTGGTCGAAGGCCCTTAAACTTCTAATTGACGAAAAAAATCGGGAGAAATAATGTTGCGCAAAAGCAGTCACCAGTTGCATTACATACTGATGGTGAAATTCCCATAAGCCGAATATGGGCAGCAAGAAACACCAACTTCAAGCTGTGCTTACCTCAGAGGCATCGTTGTCGCCATTGGTTGGGTTAGAAAGGAAATTGCGCAGGGCTGACTCGAACTCAGCGCCAACCATTGTGTTGATAAATTTAGCAATCTCCGTCAACTGAGCATCCAAGTGGCGCAGACAAGCGAATCCCCCACAACCATCGCTATTGATGGTCGAGAGGGCTTCGCGGGTGTTCTTAATGAGGTCCAATGCTGAACAGAAGTCATTCGATTTCAGTAGAGATTGGATTGTGGGTTGTGCCGAGTGAACGGAAGCTATCACCTCTAACTAAGTTAATACAAAATGAGTTAAATAACACCGGCCAACGAAACGTCGGACAAGCAACAATTTCAGCACCTCTGCCGAAAAAAAGGATATTTTTTGATGCAAAAACCGCAGCCATAATGTTTTACACCAAGCAGTAACTGCACAGAAAGGAAATTAAGCGAGGTGAAGAGACAATAGTGGGAACTCTGACTTGCTGAGACTTCAGTTTTTTTTGTAAAATTGATTCCGACTCGTCAGAACTGGCAACAGTTCGTTAGGCTATGAACGGGAATTTCGAACACTTACGACTAACAGGATACACAATCGAAGAAACACCTCTTCACTACTAGCGGAAAAGTCAATTTTGTGTGTGCTGACGACTCACAAAGATGTGAGAAATATAAAAAATCGAAGATGAATGGTACTAGATGGGCTTTCAACCGTGAAAGCAATGCACCACCTGCAATGTGGAGGGACGGGAAACGCAGATGTCAACTATTGTAGAACAGCCGTAGGTTTGGACAGGCATATTAACACAAGCCATGCAATTCATGATCCTCATTGACATAGCAGGCATACAAGGATACACAAGCCGACCACACTGACCGCGTTTTCAGTTATATCATTAGACAAAATCCGTGGACATTTGGATTACAGTGGCAATCGTAACCCGGGCCTGAGATTTAAATTATAACAGTCGGGTAACAGGTTGCCGGTAAAATTGCATACATTGTATACGAAAAATGAAGCATTAATATCTACTGTACGCACCTTAGATTGCAGTGTTTTTAAATTGGCACGACGGCGAGCTAGCCTCGCCAACTGGACAGCACCACGACAATAAATTGCATCCACATCTTTCAGCTTTGCCCTAAAATAAGACGGAAGACACCCGAATGGAAGAAAACTAAATAAGGACGTGTAAATCTACATCATAGACCGATTATGAGGAAAAAAACCATAAAGCCCAGGCGTACGGACATCTTAACTAAGATATTACAAGGAAAACTCCAAACCAATTAGATATAAAAGACTAACGAATCCTGCCACACGAACAACAAACTTTCAGAGAGGATCCGATGCCGAAACATTGAAACACGCCACAGGAGATGGGTTGAGTCATACAAAGACGAGAGGATCCCCGGCAAGTTGGCCATGATAAGGTTATTGTTAAAGTTGGCTCAAGATCAATTGACAAGAATAAAGACTGGCAGAGTGGACGAAAGTTACCTCACCGAGTTGACCAGGGAAATAGTTTGACTCAGTTGATCCTTCACCACATCGTGAGCGCAAACAGCCTCGAAAAAGGCAGGAGACCTTTCCGAAACCTACAACAAGGAGCAGTTCAGCAATCTGTCATTTCTTTATCAGGGCGTAGCTGGCACCGAAAAATGGAGCGATTCTAGATGAAACAGCAAAGGCTTTACAAGCAGTTCGGTGATGAGAGAACTACGGTGAAAGAGGTAACATGAATTAAAGGAGGTGCCTGTGTGATGATAGTACCGGCCAGATTTTAAGAAAGAAAACGTTTCTGGATCGGAGCCATCACATAATTCGTGTTAGATCCGGGCCAGTAATAATCAATGGACAGGCCTACGTGATTGACGATCGCTAACTCGACAGCGTCGAGCTGGTGGGAGAGTCTGTCACTTTGTTGGGCTGAAAGTTTGGCGAACCGGAGACGTTGCTGCAGTGGAATAACACGATTGAAAATCTCCGGGTTGGACAATTTGAAATCTGGGGAACAGAAGAGGCTGCTCGAATCTAATTGAACAGGGCCTAGAAAAGTAATGGGAAAAGAACAAAGACTATCTAATTTTTTGGCACATTAGAGACTAAAAGGAAGGGGTATAAATCAAACAAGATGGTAAATTTAGAAACAATAGCAAACATGATTACGTTGTTTAACTTAGGTGGCAGATTTTAGTTAGCTTTGAGGAAAACACAAAAATAATACTAAATCCTTTTAAACACAGACGATGTTCAAGACAACCTATAGAAACGAAAACTAAGTGATGTAACTTCCAAAAGTGGAGAGTACTTACTGGTTTTTGGGAGAGGCGTTGGTGCTCCTAATGAAGAAGGAATGGCAGGCCTCCGTTTGGCCAGTTGAGCAAGATAGGGGAAAAATTGATCTTCTGTGATCAAAGGTAGTTTTTTCGGTATAATTGGCGGTTGATCAAACGCCTCGCCCCAATAACGATAAAAGATGTCTACCTGAACAGATATAGGTTAACGATTAACTCCGGTCAGATGGCAATGGCAATTAAACACAAACTTTACTTTAGGGGTTATCAGACATGTTGAAAAAAACACGATTAAGTCAATTATATTTAAGAACTTAGACATTTATTGGCTGAAGGCATGCAAACTGGACCAGAGGCCATATCAAAGTGGGTCCGTTAAAATCAATTTTGGGGCCTTTTAATTCCTCCTCGTGACACTTGAAAGAACACTGACGCAACGAGGTCGACATTTCGATGTAACGCTTTGCATAAAACCTCAAAGCACTGCACTAAGCAAACCCAAATAGACTTGAGTAGACCCTCAGTTCCTATGAGAAAAGAAGTTACGACCGTTTTTTCACTTAGGGTTGCCTTCCAAACATCAAATAACTACCCTGAATTTGGCTATTTACGAATGTTCCATTACTCAAGCACTCTATGCTCACTGTTAAAGATCATATCAACACCGTCACATACACAAGAACGTTTGACATTAGTTGCATTAAGTCTATCATCGGAAAGACAAGGTTGCAGCATGAAAATGTCAATAATGGACAATAGTACCGTTGAAACAAATGTCCATGAACAGTAATTAGATAAAAACGGGATCAAGGGTATGGAAGTCAATATACCTGACGGTTGTTTGGATCATTGAGGACAGCTGCCATGTTAATGACCGAGTCATATTGTGTCCAATTATGAGACACTAAAGGTATAAAAGGGAGTGAAATAAAAGTGCAGCCTTGTTCTTTTGACATAAATTTATTCTATCCATCCATAATGAGCAGCTTTGAGGTAATGTGTTGACAAATAATACGCCTGACACAAAGTGAACTGCTTGTCGAGATTATGAACAGGACAAACTACTCCGCTTTTTGGGCTCGTCTGCACCAAAAAGGTTTGCGGTTCTGCCGAAACGAAATAGCTGAGGTGGTTGTTATCTGATGACTAGAACTTAGTTGCTATAACCCTGACCGTACCTAGAGTAACGATGGCAGAAGACGAAATAACCTGATAGGAATGCAAAGCGATAACCACGAAAGCTAATGGCTGTAAATCAATTCAACGTGAAAAGGCTGGTTCGAAATTAATACCTCAGTTCGAAATTAAAATACTTTTCTTGAAAATTTGAAGTCTACAGGTATTACTTCAATTCAGCATAAACTGACGCGCCCTATAGGAAAGGAAAATTGCACTATTCCTACGTTCATACTGTAGCTGAACTTGAAGCATAAAGATATATCAATAATGCATTCACAGACAGTGATTACGAATACTGTCAATAACGCATGACTAAAAGAGGGTGATGTTAAAAAATAACAAATCCACTCTAAACTTATATCCCAATTACGAACAAACGCCACAGATGCATTTTCTGCGTAGGCTATCAGAACTGATTTGCATTACTACCTCAATATGGAAGCCTTATTCCTCTTATATCAGTGACATGATGCTTGTAAACGAAAATAACATTTTTAAGCATTTGAGAATCGCAACCTATCCGCAAATTTGCGACCTTGCAGTATAACAATTTCGTGAATTCAGTCCACGCTTTTTATTTAGCGCTTTGTGACATTCTAATGAAGCGAGATGTTTTGGAACTAATAAACATTTTACAAATTTAGGAAGAAATTATAAAACGGATGTGGCAAGATAAACGTCGACTTATAAGAACTAAATGTTGACTAAACCAATCAATGGAATTGTCATAAAAATTGATTGGACAACAACAGCAACAACTGCATAATTGCAAAACTTACTTAAGGCATGTTCCACTATGGAGTTCAAATAATTTGATCATTTATTTGGGTAAAACTATGCCCAATTACTTGCCTTACAATACAGCAGATAAAACACTGATGCCAATTAGTTGACTTTACCTGGACTAAGAACAGTTGGTTGCACCTTCTGCAGTTTTGATTTGACTCGGTCAGTTTTAATTACATGTTTTGTTACAAGATGATGTTCATAATCGTATTCAGAATCAAAGCTAGCCAAATGACGTTGATGGTGAGTTTGGAGACCACCAGTCTTATCACAGAAACCCGAAGGGCCGTATCTGTTGAAGACAAAAAACAAGAGATATCTCAGCGTAAATTTTTAGTTTCATGAAACAATTAAACAGAATATAAAAATTACAACATGTGGAAAAAACGCTTTTGCAAAAATAGGAAGCGAAAGTAATAAAATATCACAAGACGCCCGTGAAAACCTAGGCAAATGTGCGAAAAATAATAAGGACCAATCCACAATGCAATGCATCCAAGTTATCATGCACAAAGTTTGAAAGTCACAAAGAAAGTGTGCAACAAATTACGACGAATTAACGTACAAGCAAATGAAAACAGTGTGACCACGTTCGATTTTCCTGGATAGGTGATGGCGCCTAATGTGATCGATCAGCTCTTCCTGAGAGGTAAACTTCTGTATCTTTGGACTCAGAGACTTTTCAGTTTCACGTTCTGATTGAGAGCACGACTCACAATTCCACGTTTTTTCCATTATTTAAAAACCAAAACATAATAAATCCACAACTTTAGCGTCTAAACACATCGTCTTTCGAGACCTGCAGACAATTTCCAGACGTATCTAACGATTGGCTTTCGAGTCACACCCAATAACTAGTAAGAATTGTGCATTGATCCTATTTAGGCTGTCTTTATCATTGAATCAGTAAGGTCCTTGCTTTGCTTACTTTGTTTATATTTTTTTTGCTTAAACATGGTTGAAATCACAAACTCGAGATATGTGGGTGTAGTCTAACAGTCCTTTGGCAAATTTGAGATGCATTCACAATATTAAGGTCACAAATCTTCTTTAAGACATTTTAAAGCAAGGACAGCAATTAGTTGTTAACAGAGATGCACTTTGACCGATGTTATCTAAATGGATTTTTGGCAGTTAATTTTGCCAATATTGAATTTACGGGACTAAGTACTCATGTAAACTTTCTGCGTTTGAGATTGTTCGTGAAGTCTGTTCATATTTCCAACATCGATGTATTGAGTTGATAGAGATAGACTCACAACTTTTCACTTTTGGGATTCTCGTAAAACACACACCTCTAATCATCCCTCACAATTTTACAAAAGATATTCTTTTTTGCAGGTGTGCATGCGTTCATACGTTGTCCTAGGTTGTGTTTGGTCAACAAATGTGTGGAGACCCAACATCAAAGCTTTTGAGATTCCCCAATTTGGCGAGGCAAACGCTTGGAAGTCTCGACTTGGGTGACTCCTAGATAAGGTGCAGGCTCATGTTAAGTTTGCCATAAGTACTCATTCAGTCGAGCGTGGAATTCCACATCTTCAAACTTTTGAGGGAGTCTGGGGCTCGGCTGGTTACTATATTAATGAAATCACACCCTCTAAAACTTTCGCACAATATCCACACGTTCCAGAAAACAAACGTCGGCAGCAGGAACACTGCAAATTTATTCGTCGTTCTTTCAAAGCATTTTTTTCTTGATGGAAATCGTGTAAAATGTAAAGCCATCAAATGTACTGTTTATCAATTGCTATCATAAACTCTGCTACTTTGAGAGAATATGTGACTCAGGTAGACTTGTCTTTCTGTGATCAAAAACCTTTCGTCGAATCCTTACAGAACCGCATAAGATCGCAAAAATAATTTCATTTTACTGCCATTTTTATTGCACACACTTAATGGGATGCATACCTGAGCGTTAGCAGAGACCACAGAATGACGCCTGAAATGCCTCAACAAATTTGAATAATTTTTTTTGGTAAAAGCTACTTTATGGTTACTCAGGTACAACCAGTAAGCCGTGATTTCATGTTATCCGATGATTTACATCTGAAATGGGCCATTACTTATTGTATTATAGCAATCTCCACGGAGAATTTCTTTGTTTACGTTGGATGTGATCACAAGCGTCCTAAACAAATTTTGAGCCACATAGAGGCCAGGCAAGAATTTGTGAAAAACCGACTACATAATATAACAAATTTGTTCGGTCAAAAATGCATCTCCAACAGAGGAAACATGTAAAGTCCGAATTGAAGGCGGAGGACAGTGCACCGAATAGTCAATTAAATCCAAACAAAGCAGCCTAATTCAACGTGGTTTTGATGGACATGACGGTTTCGTTTTATATTACAGAGAAAAGATCCTAAGGAAAGTGAAGTGATGGTAGTACATACGCACCTCATTAGTTGCACCAATCTACTGGCCCTTCAGTTGCCTGCTTAAACCCATTTAAAGTCGACCAGATAGCATTTGCGGGCATCTGTTCGATGATTAAATTAGGCTGAAGGGAGTTGACGTCTAGCGAGTCGATGCGTTAGGTACACTAGGCAGAGTGCCATCCGGAGCCCTTAGATAGTATTCTTTTGTGAATTGTATGCTTGAAATTTTGAAAGGTGTTGTTTTTACTTTGGAATCAGGGAAACTTTTGTGGGTTTGAGGAAATGATGCTTTTGAATCCTACAATTTTAAGGTTGTTAAAACATTCTCTACAGTTACTCACTGTACTTATACTACAGTGTTCAAGTGGGAACCGTATCCCGAGGTTGCTGCAAAGACGTGTCATGTGTCGTTTGTGAATCCGATTTTAAGTATCGATACACAATGCGTGAACCATGGCTATCACTGCTCTAACCTAAATTCTGCGAAACATGGTGCTTGATGGCCAGCAAGACCGCAAATCGTTGACAATGCTAAGGGACTCGTTTCTTATACGCTAACATTTTGATGTAAACAGGGTGGCTAAGATGTAACTAAAGCAACGAATAAACGGAATAGACTTTGATTGCCTCAAGTATATTATAAATAGTGGTCCATACACCTTACCCACTCAGTGTAAGCTTGTCGGGTTTCGTAGAAATTTGTAGTCATTGGTAAAAAAATAGTGTTTCCCTGTATTTGGCCACCCTGCATATTGATTTTAGGTTCCTAAACACAAATTTGAATGAGGAGTAAATGTTTCCATTTAAATGAAGTATAGCGGTCTGGAGGCTGTTTAGCAAGCTGCACCCTCCTAAACACGACTTTTTCAGCAAAATGTAATGTATTCGATGTTCTCTAATACAGTCAAAGGGAGCAAAATGATATGTTCTTAGCTAAAAAACCATTTCTGCAGCATCGATTAGGGCTAGCTTTAATATAATTATGTTCAATGTGGGTCACACGTGCTAGCTTGTCTCCATCG